TGAATCTATGTACCTGAGACTTTGCATGTGGATTTCTTTTCAGTTTTGTTAGAGTTATTGCCCTTGGGTTAGTATAAATTTGCAATTTTTAGCTGGTTCATGCATAGCTCAAAAAGTAAGTTTACAAGAATGTTGGTCAGCACATTTTCTAATGCACCTTGGGGTTGCTTGTGGATTTATTCAGTATTTGTAAAGTTCTTGCCCTTTACTTAGTAAAAGATTTTTAGTTTTTCAAAAAATATTTGACCTAGAGTCATAAGATTGACAGAACAGTGGCGCGGTGGGGGCACCCGTATCCTATGGACACATTTCTAGTGTTTTATGAAGTCTTCAAAAGTTGAAAAAAATCCATACCGCTACATTAGATGAGACGTTATAGCATCGCAGTGGGCACATAAATCTGCACGTTTGTAGCGTTTATAAAACGTGTTTATGAAAAGTTCATCTTACCGTCTCAGGGAATTGAAGCCTTGCTTTCCTGTCCCTGTTACAATAGCATGGTTATATAATAATATTACCTTCAAACAGTGTCTCTCTGTCAAATTTATTTTAATACTCCACCAGTATATACGTATAAAACCAGCCTTAAAATCGACCCCAGATTTCTGTTCTGTTAAGTTATAGAAATTTGTTACTTAATATATGTGTGATAATGCATCTTTACACATTCTTATCGGTGATAAGATTCATTGGTTACGTAAGATTGTGAATAGGGAATAGTGTATAGCCTGTTCAATATACATGCGAGTACTCATTACATTGGTATATATACTACATAATGCATCAATTTTTACTGCTGAAGCAAAAGCTATCGATTTAGCATTGTCATACATAGCACAGCATACCCGCGATAAATTTGTGATATTTTCTGACTCGCTTTCTGTTTTAATATCCTTTAAATTTTCAAAAAACTGACTTATTGTTACCTGCTTGTGATTTTAGACCGGCTATAAATAAACTCGTATCATTTGAATGGAAAGCAAATTGGGACAATGCCGTTTTTAATAAACTTCACGATATAAACCCATCTCTTGATGTGTCACCATCTCTATCTCTGTCAAACCGCCGTGATCAAACAGTTCTTCTTCGATGCCGAATTGGACACTCTAAAATTACCCACTCTTATCTCCTCACAAATGACAATGCCCCTTTCTGTGTAGGTTGTAATGAAAATTTTACTGTCAAGCATTTTCTTCTTGAATGTCACGATTTTTCACAGGCCCGTAATAGATTTAATTCTGTAAATTCACTCAAAAAACTCTTTAATACAATTCCATCAAAAAAAATAATTGATTATTTGAAAGAGATAAACTTGTATTCTAGGATCTAATTGGCTCATTTTTATTGTCATTTACAAAGTTTTACATAACATTTTAAGCCTATTGTAGCATTCGGCACGATTTGGCCAGTTATGTGTTGACGTGCCGTAAAAATCCAAACAAATAAACAAAAAACTACCAGTTAATTATCTGGTAAAAACATATTAGACCCAATTAATACGATATTATGTATAACATACGCATGTTTTCTTAATACTAAGTTATTAGGTTTCAGAAGTTAAAAATATCACTGTTATATATTCATATAGTTTAAATAAGAGGCGGTTTAAAATTAAAAAGCAATACTTAGAGGATTTTGATCTCAACAATGAACTTTATCCTTCTGCTACAGTAGCGCATCAGCATAGGCGCAACCATGATTTGCGGACCAAGTCTACCAAAATCCAGTGAACATCACATATAAGTTATAAAAAAGTATACATAAAAAGCATACTATAAACAATGATATGTCTTTTAAGTTATTCGTTAGGTGCTCTCTGGTTAGGATATTTTCATTTTTTACAGGAAGTAAATTCGCCCTCAGATACTCTTTAGCTAAACAAACTTTAATCTTAAAAAAACAGTATTATTTGAATTTCAAGTATTGATAATCCAGAATTTTTAATAGCTCTCAGAATATTGACAAATTCTTAAAACCTAACCAAGATTTTTGAAAGTGAAGAAGTCTTTATTGATAGTCAAGATACAAATACTAATTTAAAGCATTTATTCACACAAAGTGTTTAAAGATTTCTTTGGAAGTCATGTTATTTCAATTTTATCAAAGATACTTAATTTCGTCGAACCTTTGAATGTCTGTGTACCATGACGTTAAAACTTCAAAATAAATGGCATGTCTTACAAATACATTTATATAATGATGGCCTTCATTTCTGAGCAGTTGAGAAAAGCTGGATGTGCTGTCCGCAAAGTTTCTTGAACCGTTTACTGCCAACAACATCCTTTCAGATCCGAACGAGTTGTTTGAATTTTTGACCTTAGGCTTTACCCGCGGTTATTGCATGAGGGTGCTAAACAGCTATATGAGGCGACTGTTATGGGATATTATTGTCCCCCGCATTTTTGAAGAAAAAAAGGGGGATATAGAAATAGGCTCCGTCCGTCCGTCTTTCTGTCCGTTCGTCCTTCACACTTTCGTGTCAGGTCCATAACTTTGTCATTTAACAAAGAAATTTGAAACAACTTGGCACATTTTGTTTGTTATAATAAGACGATTTGTCATGCGCAACAACCAGACCTCTACCTGCAAGGTCAATGTCGCACTTGCTCAATCAAGGTCAACATTGTATATTTGGGGGTAATGTCGTGTCCGGTCCATAACTTTCTTATCTTTGAAGGGATTTTGTAAATATTTGCCACAATTGTTCACAATAATAAGACGATGTGTTATGCGCAAAAACTGGTCACCTACCTCCAAGGTCAAGGTCACACTTGAAGGTCAAAGATTAACAAAGTCTGTTATAGGGTATATTTTGTGTCCTATCTAGAACTTCTTCATAGGGATTTTGAAATTACTTGGCACAAATAGTCACAATAATACGACGATATGCCAAGTACAACACCTGCACCCCTACCTCCAAGGTCAAGGTCAAGGTCACACTTAGAGGTCAAAGTTTAACAGAGTCTGTTATATGGTATTATTTGTGTCCCGTCCATAACTTCTTCACAGGTCAAGGGATTTTGAAAAACCTTGTCTGTTATAGGGATTATATATTGTGTCCAGTCCATAATATTTTCATAGATGAAGGGATTTAAAAAATACTTTGCACAAATAATCACAATAAAAAGACGATATGTCAGGCGCTAAATATGGGTCCCTACCTGCAAGGTCACTGTCAAGATTGTATTTTTTTAGTATTTTTATCGTTTTATTTTATGTTTGTTTCAGCAGCACGAATCTGATTCAATTCATTTTTAAATCAGTTTTAAGATATTTAAGTGAATTTTAATTTGCACTTTATTTCATGTTGATAGGTCTTTTTAAACTCAAGTTATAAGTATTTTAGTGCGTCAAAAGAAACACACTTTTGTTTTATTTTACTGCGACGTCGATTATATTGTGACGTCACGTCAATTGTTTTCTATCAGGTTCGTGCCGTTGCTATATATATATTGAGACAAATAAAGAGACCTGATGCTCATTAGTAGTAGATCAGAAAAAAAAAACTTAGTTCCCGAATAAGGACCTTTCAGTATTGTCTTAGAGTTTTCTGCAGAAGTGGTGAAGCAAGTCCAGGAAGCGCAGCACATCCAAGAAGCGCAGCGAGTCTAAGAAGCGCAGCAAGTCTAGGAAGCGCAGCAAGTCTAAGAAGCGCGGCAAGACTAAGAAGCGCGGGAAGTCTAGGAAGCGCAGCAAGTCCAGGAAGCGCAGCAAGTCTAGGAAGCGCAGCAAGTCTAAGAAGCGCGGCAAGTCTAAGAAGCGCGGCAAGTCTAGGAAGCGCAGCAAGTCCAGGAAGCGCAGCAAGTCTAGGAAGCGCAGGAAGTCTAAGAAGCGCAGCAAGTCCAGGAAGTGCAGCAAGTCTAGGAAGCGCAGCAAGTCCAAAAGCGCTGCATGTCTAAAAGTGAAGCAGTCCAGGGGTGCAGCAAGTCCAGGAGTGCAGCAAGTCCAAACCTGCAGCAAGTCTAGAAGCGCAGCAAGTACAGAATCACAAGGAGGACGTTTATTACTCTGTCTAGCAAGTTCCTTTGTTAATAAGACAAAGTCACCTTAGTTAGTGGACCCACACAGACTAACGTCTGACAGTCACACTTAGAGGTAAAAGATTAACAGTCTGTTATAGGGTATATTTTGTGTCCGATCTATAACTTCGTCATAGTTCAAGAGATTTTGAAAATACTTGGCACAAATAGTTACAACAATAAGACGATATGTCATGCTTAACATCTGCATCCATATCTCAAAGGTAAAGTTCAAACTTAGAGGTCAAAGCTTAACATGAAAAATTCTTAAATTTCGTGTTTCATTTTATTTCTTTAATAAATTAATTGTTGCATTTGCACATCTAGCATTGATCATAATTTTGAACTGAAAGTGAAACTGATACCAAAATCTTTTGAAATAGCACAATTGTATGCTTCATATAAAACTTCCCTGAGGGAGGGGACGTTGGTAACTCTGTTACAAATTCTTGTTTATACATTAATTTCGCAAATAAGTATAATATTATTTATTTTAAAAGTGATTTTGATTTGAGAACGAAAGGGCCTAGTGGTAGTTTAAAGAACATAATTATAGTTGTTAAAAACTACATAGAATAAGAGAAAGCTGGTTGTAAATCAGACATATTTCTCGCAATAATAGAAACTTTAATATCTGACTTATATCAGGTAGATGTATACAAAATTACTCCCAAGTAAAAGTTTACATATTAATACGTATAATGTGAGACGTTAAAATATCAAATTATTGAAAAGAAACCTGGTTAAACCAAATGCATACAAAAATTGTCGACTTTTAAATTAATGGTCACAATTATTTTCATAGATAGAAACATGCGCCATGCCAATGTAGACAGTGTGGTTTCCATATTAAATGTGTTAACATCACTTATTATTGTTTTCAAAAATAAAGGGTTCATCTAGTAACTGTTTGTCTTGTTTACACACAACATAATGACAGGAAATATGTGAAATCCTGTGATAGCATAACAATTTGGTAAATAATATATATGGAAAATATAATATTGAAACTATATAATAATAAATATAGCCATTGAATGAAGATTACTTATAAATTGAAATAAATATACATGATTACAATTGCATGTTTAAACAATATTGATTTAAATCAATACAGTGAGGGGGAAAACTCCAAATTCTTGAATTGTATTGCTTCACTTTTTTGTAATAACCTCCTGTTTATGACTTACACTAACAGTACATCAAAGCAAAATAAATACATATATCTTGTCATATTCTTACTTCGTTTATAACTACACTAGATGTCTTTTTTTTATTTTTTCATAAGTTTAATGCTTAAAACAATGCTAATAAATAAATAAATGACCGTTTCCAAGCTACTGCAAAATAAAATATCCGTCCCATTTCGCTTGTTCTTTTCTGGAAAGCTTATAAATTACTAAATGCTGTTGTTTTAAACTTTGCGATTGTTTCAGAAATCGTTTAGCATTTTTTCTCTTATATACTTCGCAGAATCTATTCCACGTATCATATCAGCAGCTTTTTCGGCAACCATTATCACTGGGGCATTTATATTTCCCGATGTCACTGTTGGAAATACGGATGCATCAACAACTCGCAATCCTTTTATACCCTTTACTCGAAGTTTTGAGTCTAAAACAGCAGTTTCATCTTCATCAGCACCCATTTTGCACGTGGATGAATGATGATATACAGTAATCGCTAGGTGGCGCACGAAACATTCCCAGTAGTCATCGGAACGGAACTTGTGTTGTGAACAAAATGACAACTTCATTTGATTCATGTCAACACCAAGTTCTTTCATGGTTTTTGTTTGCATAAACCTTTCCCATAGTCGGATACCTCCTATAAAATTTTCAACATCTCTTTTGTCCGTGAGATACTGAGGATCTATCAGGGGGTAGTCGAACGGATCCGAACTTTTAAGGCGTACAGTTCCTCGACTCTTTGGATTTGTTATGGAAACAATAAAGTTGAACCCCTCTATGTTCCCATGTTCTGCTAAAAATTCCTTAGCGACACTGTCTTTTATGTTAAAGCAATTTTCAGCTATATATTTACTGTATATCATGATCTGAACGTCTGCACTTGCTTGTCCACGTTTTGACTGGTCGTTGTAATAGAACGCCGAACCTTCAGATCCTGCTATTGAAAGAGGTCCTGTGCCAAATAAGTTATACCTCAATCGGGTCCAGAAACTGTTAATAAGGTCATCAGACAAGCTAATTGGTTTATTTATCTTAGTTAACATGTACGCCATTAGGTGATCCTGCAAGTTGTTTCCAACTGGAAGGTCAAGTAATACTGGGATATCCATAGACTTTAGATGTTCCTCTGGCCCTACACCGGATAGCATCAAGATTTGTGGCGAATTGATAGCACCGGCCGACAAAATTATTTCTTTTTTTGCTCTGACGTATGACTTTTTACCATTTCTAACGTAAAACACACCATCAGCTGCTTTATTTACAATATTAACTTTTGTGACAAATGTTTCTATAACAATATCAAGATTTGATCTTTTACCAATTCGTCCAAGAAACGCTAATCCAGTTGCGTCACGAACGCCATTTCTGACGTTTAATTGCATTCTGTTGAAACCCTCTTGATCAGCACCGTTATAGTCCGTAATATTAAAACCCAGTTCTTGTCCAGCTTTCATGTACAGGTCTGACAGTTCTGTTATACGTGAACCTGAAACCGCCAATGGACCACCAGAGCGATGGAACGTGGATGATTTCAATTCGTCTATTTGTATGTCCTCTGATTTCAGAAAGTATGGCAGAACGTCTTTGTAACTCCAACCAATGCAACCGTTTGCAGCCCATTCGTTATAGTCATAACGACTTCCGCGTGTATATTGCATAGCATTTAAAACGCTCGATCCACCGAGAACGCGACCACGGGGCAAATAGCCACTGTTTTTGTTAAGTCCTAGGCATGAAACCGTTTGAGGTACAGTGTAATACTTCCAATCATGTTTTGTATTTTGAAGACTCAGAATTTTAATTGGAATGTGAAAGTTTGGATTTTCATCATAAAATCCTCCAGCTTCTATTAAAAGAACGCGAATATTCCTATCCTCGGAAAGTCTAGAAGCTAAAACAGAACCTGCCGACCCCCCGCCGACAATTACATAATCATATTCGTCTTCAATTTCATCTGAGAGTATCTCCCTGTGACGATTGTAGTCATTTACGAAGTTATAATAGTACACTATAGCGATGCAAATTACGAGGATTCCCTGAGTAATTGCCATCATTACTTATGACACATTCTAAAAATAAAAAATGGAAAATATTTTAAACTAATAACAGCCTAACAAATTCTTTAAGATGTGAAAAACGGAAAAAGTTGATACATATTTTATCTAGGTATCGTATAAAAGTACAAGGTATGGCATTAAATAGAAAAAACTGTTCATACGGTAGCTTGTTGACGTTTTATAAACTATCCTTTTCATAAAAACAAACTTTTTCTTATATGCATTTCTATTTTCATGTTGTTGTTAAATTAATTAAGACATCAACTGCTGAACATTCTACCTCTATTTTGTATGATGAGTTGTGAAATCGACTTTGTTAAAAAAATCTGTGTGTGTTCCTTGCATTCTTTTTTATAGCGAACTCACTTGGACATTACTACTTTGTTCTTAATACAGTATATGTGTTAAAAATCAAGGTGTAAACGTGTTCCTACATAAATTATTCTAACATTTACTTAACCGCTACAATTTGTGAGACGTTGTTATTCATTGCACTATTTCCCTTTACAACATATTCAAATACATGTATATAGTGCTGCACATTTGTAATCTCGTTCATATTTATATAGTCGCGAGTTTGATATAATCTACTAGTATATAGACCGTCGATTGCATAATTTTTAATCTCCCCCTCTTAGACAATGCAAAGAATATTTGTGCAGCATTATAAATTCATTATAAAGACTTTTGACATGCTATTATCAACGTGTTTGTCATTTTAATGTGTTTCCTAGAATACTAGTAGTTCTTGCATAACGTCATTTTGAAGAATAATTTAAGCTTAAATGAGAAATTTCCCAATCTCAAATTTCAACTACAAGACAATAAATGAATACATGTCCCGGTTTCTGAAGAGGAACGCCATAATTATGCTAATCAAATTGCGACAGACCGAAGAACTCGTTTCCATTGATTTCCTTAACGGGGCTGACGGCGCTTGGCAGTAAAAATCTTAAGTAATTGGGATAAGTTAACAATTTGTAAGCAGATATTTTACAGAGGGAAGGGTTCTGACCTATGAGATGCCTGCGTTCAAGAACCAGCATGTCTCGCTTACATGTCAACCTTAGGAATTGAATTTTACGTTTTTTTTTGTTTTGGTTTTTTCTTTCTTACAAAAAAGGTCCGTAACAGTTTTGATACGTTTTGTTTCGGTATAAGATTTGAATGTTAATTGATTTTAATAACTTTTTAACGCCGTTAACTCGCAATTATGTATGTAACTGCGAAACGTGTGTAAAGTCCTGGCATTTTTACAACAGTTCAACCAGATCTTTTACTCGGAGCATTCTCGGGCACTTCAAAATTAAATATTTTTATGAAAACACAACTATTTTCTTAAAGAGTAATCTTTTTCAAAAGAAGTTGTAGATTGCTAAAAAGTGATGTAGAATATCGAAGCTAGATGAGCGTATTTTCAAGCGACAACGAGCGAAAATTTTGATAACTTGTTATAATATATAGTATACTTTTATCATTTTACGGATAACCAATCGGTTCGATTTTTTAAAAATGATATTTATCATTTTTGAATGATTTTATTCATATCATTTTGTTTTTGGTGGGGTTGTAAAGTGTTCTGGGATGGGGTACTAGTTACCGACTTAGTTATTCGCTGTACCCCTGTTTGTTTTAATCTCCGTTAGACGAAATAAAATAAACATTTTGATATGATAAAAAGGAGAAAATCTCCGATTTCTGATAGTTTTGTGAAAAAATGTCTTTCAAACAAATTATCACAATTTAACAATGTTAAAGTCGGACAGGAAATTGATTATGATAAAATTGCTAATAAAATAGTGTCTTATTACTAAGACTATGAACATTAAGATAAATAATTCTTTTTGTTTTTTTTTCCTTTTATTACACTACAACTTTTTTATACTACAATAAAATGTAACTGAGGGGCAGTCCACAGTTGTCGTTAGTTGATTAATAGCAATCAACGCAAAATGTACTTTAATTTAGATAAACATGTATGGTGTTATAGTTTACCTTAAATATATATATATATATAAATACATGACATTAAAAAATGGCCAGCAGTATTATTAAGGCTTACTTCACCACTATAATACCTCCTTATTTTTTAGTGTCAGCGTATTATATTTACGATGACGTCAGCCTAAACGGTACTATTATATGTTTGTCTGACCGCGAAAATCTATCGGAAGGACTATTTTTATTTTTTTTAAAAAACGAGCAAAGTATAAGCTAAAGTTTATAAGTTGTATAAGCAAAGTACCAACTATTTTCAGTACATTTTACAAGACATTGTGTGATTAAAACAACATGCTTTCCAACTTTTTACCATTATGTTCTTGGTTTATACAAATTTATTTTAGTTCGATTGTGTTGGAAGCTATAAGCTTATTGAAACACTCTCGAATCCGTTCCTGGAACCAACCAGTACTAAGCAATGAATGTAAAGTTTCTTTCTCAAGGAAAAAACGGCTTGCCCCTGACAGGGTTTGCACCCACGCGGTCAGCAATCCTTAGATTACTAGTCCGACGCGTTAACCACTCGGCCACGCCGCCACCTCCATTATGTTCTTGGAAAGTGCGGTATAAAATGAGCAAAAACACACAACGCTTCGCACCTCATAGCTTAAATGTGACCTCCAAGCCAGCCGAAAATAGTGAACGGACCACAGCCTTCGACTTTGGTCGGTTAAATATTTGCAGGCTGACTTATCGGTCACTTTAACGCTGTGAGGATCTCTGTGTGCTGTGTAAATTGACAGCAATTTCATGTGGAGCATATTTTATAATTATGGTGTTTATATTAATACCAATGTTTGTTCTCGGCGGCACAGAACTTTCATCTGTAGAAATGAACATTGTCAAAAGTATCTGTAAGTTAAGATATACACATCCTCGCCAGTGTATCATGTAAGCATTTTTACCAAACAATAAAAAAGTTTTATCTTGCCGTCTTTATTGCCAAAGTTCTTACCTAAACAGAGTAAAAGCCGAAAATCTTTGTTTTAAATCATCTCCAAATAGCTGTCCTCCTAACGTCTTTGTTATATTGTCAGATATCAAGTTCATTCAAGTATGTGTGAGAGATTTTGACATCTGTTTAACCTTTGGTCATCGCTAAGATAACATTTGTAAGATTATAGTCAGAGAATAATGTGTTCAATATATTTAGTTATAAAATTGCATGTATACCTCTCAAAAATGATTTTGGTCGGTTGATTTGCAAATAAATACCCCTTTCTGAAATATTTAACTGTAACAGTAATAAATGCAAATCGAAATAAAACACATAATTTTATTTATATTTACTGTTTTAATGGAAATTGAAAATTAGTGAACATTATGTTCATTCAGATAAGAGTTTTGTCTTCAATTTAGAAAATTATTCTCTTTTGCATAGACATACTACAAGTGTTTAACACTAACCATGACTCTTCGTCTCAAAATCTTATTGTATGTAGGGTTGTGTTCCTTCATCTCGAATAGTTGGTTTGCCACAATATTTCAAAAGGTTCAACGTTTGGCGACTTGAATTGTCGTTCTAAGAACAGAAGAGAGAATGTTCTTTGTTTCATTGAGTCTCTGTTGATTCCGTGGCACAGTGCATCATAATTGCAGACATATGGAAGCCGGTTTAATATTTTTTCAAGGAGACGGTCAAATTAATGTTTGAAAATAGTCGCATGAAGAGTTTAACACAACCAAAAAGGAGGCAAACTAGGTTGTTTCTTATGTAGGTTGCCTGCCCTTGATAGCTGCAAACTTACATATCGGATGTAAGTGGCTATGTATTCATCAACTGTCTATTTCATAAACAAAACTATTGAAAATGTTTAAAATATGACAACCATAAAGTATTTATACTGAATTTGGTTAAAGCGGTTCCCACTCAAATATAAACAGATTTTTTTGGCGAAGAAAAATTATTTTTAAAATGTGAAAATAAAGTGATTTAATATTTTATATTTTTTAATGGATACTGAAGTGTTGAGTGTTAATAATGCTCGATGGGTAGAAAATGAAAAATAAAATAAGCGGAAAAGAGTGATAACAGTGACAATATTGGCAATATATGTAAGGCGGGAAGATATATAACTTCACCAGAGCAGATTTGTGTCAGTTATATTCCTAAAAATGGCTAATTATGTGCTATTTAATGAAAGAACTGATAAAGAAGATAGTTTAAATCAGAGTTGAGACAGTGGGATAAATGAAAAATCGTCAATTAACGGAAATATGGCAACAATGCATATCCCACCCATTAATACAGGACATGATGTAAATGCTATTGGTGAAACATGTTCGCCCACAAATGCAGATTTGTTTATTCATTTGAAAAAGTGAGGTGAAAAAAAATTGTAAATGGAAAAAAGTTAAAATGAAAAAGATTTTCCAGAGCAAAAAGTAAATAATTTTGAAAAAGAAACAAACAAGTGTGGACAAATATCCAAGATCTAAATTTACATTAATGGACTGACAAACCTGGAAAAGGAATGTCAAGTATTTGTAGATATTATTGACAAAAATGACGACATATTTTGTTTGAAGCGTGGACAAGTTCTAAAAGTATTGTAGATATTGATGGTTATGCATCATATAATTTTTATCGAAAGTATCAACATCGAAATTCGAAAAGATGTAGCGGAAAGGTTGTTATCTTTGTTAAAGATAATTTGAAAAAGGGTATTTCAGTTGTTAGAAATAATCACAATTCCGTAATCTGGTTAAAGATAGATAAGCTTTTTTCAATATAGAAAATGATCTATATTTGTGTGGGGTTTACATATGGCCTTAAGGATCACCATTTATAATTGCTATAACGTAGATTTATTTGATGAAATTCAGAATGATATTTTTGAGTTTGTTAATGAAGGGTCTGTGTTTTTGATCGGCGATTGGATTAGTCGGGTGGGATTGTATTATATGTGATACTGTAATTAAGTATATAAGTAATGGTGGTTATATTCCTGATATATCCTCTGTTAAGACATCCTGTGATAAAACGTGTAATACTAACGGAATAAATCTTCTTGACTTATGCAAATCTACGTGCTGTCGAATAACTAACGATCGGCTCAGTATTGACTATGGTATTAGTGCGTTAACATTTGCAACACGTCACGTCAAGGGGCATCTACTCGCAAAAGAATACAAGTGATTTCTAAATACACGACTTCAATGAATGGAGCGACTAATGTCCGATTTCCGTTACTTTAAAATGTAATGTAATGCCTGAGGAAGTGAATAATTCATGATTTATAAAAATTAGATGATAAGACGAATTTAGTTGTGAATTTCGTTCAGGCATTATTGGTTGTTTGATTAACGGAGGATATGAACATTCAAGATAGAGCTTCTGTAAAAACATTCTTAATGAATTCAATGATAAGGTTCGTCAGGTAGCTGACCCTCTGTTTACACAATATGTGTCAAATCGACGCGATGTATATTTTGTTGATAATCGAACCAAAGATCAAGAATAATTTGTCCTTGAATATAAGCACGCAAAGCGCAGGTATGTGGAAGCTGCCGCTTTTCATGGAATTAATGGTACTTACGCGTCGGATTGAAGGTTTTATGATAATCGCCATATGAACACATCTGAGGATGTTTCAAAATTCAAAATTGTACCAGTGCATGTTAAATGTTGAATTCTGTTTAAACCGGTGCCAGGGGAGGCGTTGACGGTAGTTTGCACTTGACAGTACCGTCCATGAACAGACTCAATCAAACCGAGTCTTTCAATTTTGCCGTGTTGGGCTTTCTTTAGGGATTCTTATTTTCACTATTTGATTGAGTCTGATCATGAGGAATAATGAATACGTTCAACATCCCTCACACCCCCTAGCACCGGCTTGAACGGTACTCAATTCTTAACACTTAATAGTGCTGGCATCAATGATCCCGAAGGACCAAAAAAATATAACAACACTGAAGTGAAGCACGAGGCAATTTTTACAGCTGCCACACAGCACTTAATGCCTGCTGTTGTGAAGTATAAAAATCTGGAAACAAAGTGATTCATCGGAAGCATTAGTCACAATAAAAGCTGGTAGGATGATAGAGATACTGGAGTAGACAAATGTGTAAATTGTATTCAGACTAATCGGAAAAATAAATGCCATATTACATCGACCAACTATTGTTTTGAAAAAGATCCATATATGAATTATTTTTACACATAATCCTAATAAACTAATTGGAGTATATAAGAAAATGAAACGATTTCCGACTAAAATATAAAATTCGTACGTAGATAAACTGAGGCACTCAAATCAGTAGAAATATGGAATAAATAAAAAAAACTGTTAATTAAAATGAAAATCGATTGTTTGAAGTAAAAAACAAATGAGCGATTCTTATCAATATTTGAGTTTTAAAACGCTTTTCAGCTTAAGCTCATTGTGCAAAATTAAAATGCGTGAACGGTAAAAAAATGCAGACCTACATCAAATGGTTACCCTAATTACGAACGCATATTTACAGTCCCGTCGTGTCAAAAACATATCAGTGGGGTCAGCTTGTGATTATATTCAAAACTCAAAATAAAGATAAACTTTTTCAAATCACTGGGTAAATTTCCTTTGTAGCTTTAGTAATGGTTTGGTAATTTTTCTCTGATACATTTAACAGAATCTATTCCACGTATCATATCAGCAGCTTTTCACTGGGACATTTATATTTCCCGGAACACTGTTGGAAACACGGATGCATCAACAACTCGCAATCCTTTAATACCCATTACTCGAAGTTTCGAGTCTACAACAGCAGTTTTATCTTCATCAACACCCATTTTGCACGTGCAGGAATGATGGCTAGGTGGCGCACAAAACATTCCCAGTAGTCATCGGAGCGGAACTTGTGTTGAGAACAAAATGACAACTTAATTTGATTCATGTCAACACCAAGTTCTTTCATGGTTTTTGTTTGCATGAACCTTTCCCATAGTCGGATACCTCCTATAAAATCTTCAACATCTCTTTTGTCCGTGAGATACTAAGGATTTATCAGGGGGTAGTCAAACGGATCCGAACTCTTAAGGCGTACAGATCCTCGACTCTTTGGATTTGTTACAGAAACGATCAAGTTAAAACCTTCAATGTTACCATGTTCTGCAAATTACTCCTTAGCAAAGCTGTTTTTAATATTCAAGTCATTTTCAACTATGAATTTACTGTAAATTATTATTTGAACTCCTGCACTTGTTTACCGCGTTTTAACTGGTCGTTGTAAAATAACACCGAACCTTCAGATCCTGATATTGAAAGAGGTCCTGTCCCTCATAAGTTATACCTCAATCGAGTCCAGAAACTATTAATAAGGTCATCAGACAAGCCAATTTGTTTATTTATCTTAGTTAACATGCACGCCATCAGGTGATCCTGCAAGTTATTTCCGACTGGAAGGTCAAGTAATACTGGGATATCCATAGACTTTAGATGTTCCTTTGGCCCTACACCAGATAGCATCAAGATCTGTGGTGAATTGATAGCACCAGCTGAAAAATTACTTCTTTTTTGCTCTTACATATGTCTTTCTACCATTTCTAATGTAAAATACACCATCATCTGCATTATTCTTGACATTAACTTTTGTGACAAATGTTTCTATAACAATATCAAGATTTGATCTTTTACCGATTCGTCCAAGAAACGCTAAACCAGTTGCGTCACAAACGCCATTTCTGACGTTTAATTGCATTCTGTTGAAATACTTCTCCGTAATATTGAAAGCCAGTTCTTGTCCAGCTTTCATATACAGGTCTGAAAGATCTGTTATACGTGAACCTGAAACTGCCAGTGGACCACAAGAATTATGGTACACGGATGATTTAAATTCGTCTATTTAAATGTTTTCTGATTTCTAAAAGTACGGCAGAACGTATTTGTAATTCCATCCTGTATAGCCGTTTGCAACCCATTGGTCATAGTCATAACATTCGATCCACCAAGAACGCGTCCGCAAGGAAAATAGTTCGAAATGAGACTGTTTGAGGCACGGTGTAATGTTCCCAAGCATCTAATATTTTCTTCTCTACTTTGAAGATCTAGAATGTTAATCGGAATGTGAAGTCATTTTCATCCAAGAACCTGCCTGCTTCTATTAAAAGAACGCGAATGTTCTTATCTTCGGAGAGTCTCGAAGCCGAAACGGACCCTGCCGACCCACCGCCGACAAGCACATACTCGTATTCGTCATCGATCTTATCCGATAATATCTTCCTGTGTTAACACTAAAGAAGCGATAGCAATAGTATTACATTTTAGCGATACAAAGTACGACACTTGCCTGGGTTATTGCCATCATTACTTACCGGTATGACATTCTGAAATGGAAATTGGAAACATTTTAACTGAAATCATCGGCATGTAAAATTCTTATAAAAACAAAAAGGATGGTTCATTCGAAATCCTTACTCGAAGTGACAAAATTCTGTTAAATTTCATTTTTTTAGCGATGACGTACACAGCTGTATAGCCCAGTCAAATATGGCTCAACAGCTATGTACTCGTTCACAGTATTGCACTCAACAATTTGCGATTACCTTATTGTTTTACTTTTGCATGTCTTTATTTTCATCTTATGCTTACGCATTGATAGTTTCATTCAACTGTTGTCTTTTTTTCTTTTCTTATCCCAAATTTAACATTTTACTTACATTGTCAGGAATATAAAAAGATTGTTGACTATAATCGACACCAAATTCCCCCCTTGTAACGTTTTCAAATTTGTAGATATGAAGTTCATCATATATGCGTGAGGGCATACGTGTGCATGCATTTTCATATATTTCTTATGTATTATTCATTAATGTATTATAACAGGTTATAATTTGCTACATTCCGCGACAATATTTGACCCAACCAGAACGAAAATATGTTTAAAATATGTGCATTTTCCAATGCAACTACTTTTAATATGATACATACATATTTCAGTTTGGCATCACCTATATATCTGTTAAACAAGGCAATCCTTATCGTCTGGTATATGGTGTTGACAGCTATGGCAACGTTTGTAATCAGAAAAATGATAAAATAGATGGCGTTTTCTATTCTGGACAAGATAACACCGACAAACCGTAAGTAATCTTTTATTGGAGAAAGTATATAAATGTGTGTTGAATTTCTGAAGATAAACGGCCGAGAAGCGATCGTATAGTGATCTAGTATATGATCTAGTTGATCGAGAATAAATCGTGTAACGATCTAGTTTGGTCGGGTATACATCTCTTACGATAATCTTGACTTCTACTCGACTGGGTGATCGAAAGAAGTCGGGATGTTGGTCGGGCTGTCGTCGGGAAGAAGTCGTAAAACATCGTGTAGGGTCGGCTTGTGGTCGTGTAGGAGTCGTGAATGTGCATTTAATTCAGCTTGGTCGGGCTTCATCGGGGAATTAATGTGATCGGGGTGGGGTGTTCGAGTTGATCTGATCGGCGGTGAGAACATTACATAATACTTGGGAAGTTTCGATGTATACTCGAGTTCAGCCGTTATCAGTTGCAACACTTTTATAACTGGTTCCTAAACTTACGCAACATACTCAGAAAATCGTTGGTAAAATGTGACAAACGAAATCATAGAGCTCATGAATTTCAAGTGAAACATTCTCATAGTTATATTCACTTTCTGCTTTCAGGAAAGTATTTTTCTTCGACCCGACATATTTCACATCTATGTTGCCCAACAGCCCATTTCCTTCTTTTTCTGAAGATGACACGGAAATCATCTGCATAGAAAAGTGTCCACCTAATGAAACGGAAGTCATTGATTTCTTCATGAATGAGGGTGTGAATCTTTGTCATTATAATGTAACACCGTACGTGGATAATATCAAACAATGCCCGGCTACCCCAGTGCAAAAACAGTACGTACAAAAATTAAATAATATGGTATTTGTTTCGTTTTGGAAGAGAACTAAAGCACATTAATATCATTACTATTTATATCAAATATAAAGTTGAGCTTTGTGTTCTTATATGCTAATTATAGAAAATTTCGACTAAATATTTTTTTTTCTGTCTGCGAATTTGGTTCGCTTTTTGGTCTGAGTCACCTTTAAACATCAGCTGCACACTGAAGCAGATTCCTTTTGATAGTATGAAAAAATGTAAGCACTTATGTTATTACTACTATTAAAGCAATGGTGTTTTTAAATTCACGTTTAACTGTGCAGCTTTTAATCATAAATATTACATTTTTTTATATGCCCGAAAGAATTTCGGACATATTATGTTATACCCGCTGGCGTCCGTCCGTCCGTTAGCAATTTGGTTTCCGGAGCATAACTTAAGTTCCATTTGGCCCACAATATTCAAACTTCATAGGATGATTGCCCATATTGCGTAGAAGACCTCTATTGATTTTGGGGTCATAAGGTCAAAGGTCAAGGTCACTATGACCTTAAAACTGAAAACAGTTTCCGGAGCATAACTTAAGTTCCATTTGGCCCGAAGTGTCAAACTTCATAGTATGATTGTCCATATTGGGTAGAAGACCCCTAATGATTTTGGGGTCACAAGGTCAAAGGTCAAGGTCACTATTACCTTAGAATTGAAAATAGTTTCTGGGGCATAACTTTAGTTCCATTTGGTACACAATATTGAAACTTCAAAGGGGGACTGTTATTTGAAGGTGGTAATACTTTATTTAATTCCCATGTCTTACAAATGCTTCATCTTTACTAAAAAAATCACTTTCGGGCATATAATGCTCCGCCTAGCGGTGCTCTTGTTATTAATTATTATGTGTTATAAATTCTCACTTTCAGTGAGAGTGTCTTCAATCGATGTATCCCGGAATATATCGTGAAGTATGCTAAAGACATAGCGTCATCGTTTGCATCTGTTCTTAGTAACAGTTACATGGGCAGTAATGCGCCACAGGTAATGTTATGATCCCAAAACACACAAGAATAACTTATTGACTCACTTCTTTCATATTGTATTTATTTTCGTTCCATACAATTTATTTGAATTGACACATCATTTATACTTGATATCGGTTAATTTTGTTTATAACATTGTCGTATCATAGTTTGTAGACCTTTATGTTGAAAATGTGTCAGGGTTAAATCGTATACACGCAGAGTGCGTTAACTGGAGTGCGGGTATTAGTTACCCGCACTCCAGAGCATGCCCATTGATTGGCTCATTTTTGCTGGGATTTACATATTGTGACGACAGAGAAAGAGAAAGCGACAGAAATGTCATATTCAGATGTTCGTTCAATGGTTCATTTTTGCCGGGGTTTCATATTGTGACAACAGGGAGCGTGCTTTTATGTTTGACTATGATACAAGAAAGAAAGGACACCAAAACACTCGGAAATCTGATTAATACTCGGGGGCTACGCCCCCTCGTACAAATCAGATAGCCTCGTGTTTCGGTGCTCTTTCTATTACTTACATGTATTGTATTATATCAATAATATGTTGATTAACCTCTAAATATTTTATTATATTCAACATTTACATGTAATTGGATAATCTTTTTGCCCGTTTAAAACTAAACATTATTACGATAAATTGGTTTGAGGTTTAATTAATGATAAACATTTCAATACTGTTATTTTCCCCAGAAAATTGTGTCTGACTTGAAGAACACGTGGATAGAGATTGGTTACCTATCCGCTATATCAGTGGGTGTGGCTTTTATTGTGGTTTTGCTAATGAGGTTCTTAGCAGCAGTGATAGTATGGACATTGGTTATCGGGGTGATGTTGTTCTCAATGGGTGCTTCTACTTACTGCTGGTAAGATGGAATTTTCTTATTTGCAAAATGACTATGAATTTCATACAAACAATAGGGCAAACTTTAAAAGAATGATGCAAATATGCTATATGTATATTAATATAGCGCAGGGTCTTTCAAATATGTTTCTATTAGAAAGACCCTGTATAGCGGAAATATAATAAAAACCCTCTTCCGAGACAGGTGTGATAATAATATGACCAGATATGGTATGACCAAAAAAGGACTGTTCATAATAGACAGGTCTTAGCACATATTTTATTCTCATCATATTAGTTCAAAGTTCCCTTTTTTTAGAACACCATGCTACAATGTGCGATGTATAAGGTATATGTATATTTTTCTCACATTTATATATGTAACTGTCAGTAGAACATTTTCAGTCAGAAGATCATTATAGATCTTTAAAACTTCGCCCTCGAAATATATAGCACCATGCCTGCCGACAGTCCGATGAAATATACGAGAAATATTACAAATCCGAGTCGATCGAAAGCATGCGAAACGTCTTGCCATGTGACGTGTTCAATCGGGTCTTGCTCAAGGTGACTAATGGAGGCACTGGGGGACCGGTTTATGTTGTTTTTGTAATATATGCAGTTGTCCTTATCGTGTTGTGATTTTGAATTTTCTTCATTCGTGCAGCATTTGAGTAATTTTGTGAAACGAATGTATGCGGGAGAAATCTTGGACGCATGATCTGTGTAAAAGACGCGCATGTTAACCATCACGCAGATCATAATCATTACACTTCCGGAAAAAAGTAACATCAAAAAATAGCAAAGCAACGACATTGGAGCAGACGTTTTTGGGATGTTGTCGCTTACTAAAGTCATAAATACAGCAAATGACAGCAAAATTGTAACGGAATATGACAATCGTTCCCCACTTTGAATTGGGATTGCAAACGATAAGCAATTCAAGAAACTCAGACATGCAATCGGTACTATCACGTTGACGACAAAAAACTCGGACCGACGCACAAAGTTGATGTCAAATTGAATGATGGAAATTTGGCCGTTTGCATAAGTTGATACGTTGGTCGTTCCTAATTTCCATTCTCCATTTTCATGATAGAAATCCGTTTGTATTTGTTGCATTGAAGATTTAAGAGAAATTTCTTTCCATGAATATGACCAAGGGGTGAATATAATCATGCAACTCTGTTTATCGAATGGATAGTTGTAGACGTCAAACTCACATCTTGAACGGAAAACGTCACCTGGATGCCACAAGATTTTTCCGTTGTGCATCACGCGCACCAGAGCGTCGTCTGCATTCAGTCTGCTAACTGACTTAGATGGGTTTCCCAAAATAATTGGAGGAGTCCAAACCTGTAGTCAGAAAATTGAAAATTCTTCAATTTTTTTTGTTGCTTTTCTTAGCGAAAATAATGTATTCATTTAACTAAAACATGAAACGAGATATACAGTCTAACATACTATCTTTTGTTTCCTTTTTTGACAGCAAACACAATTTGCAGTTCAATTTGATGACTAAAAGATCGATTGACAGTTTGAGCTTGTTTTTTTCCCCATGTGTTCATTACTCAGTGTATATAATAAAGGGAATGTTATTAATTTAACGAAAGCAGATTCGATACAGGTGTTTTGGTTTTATAACGTTCACAGAAATTGAAATGTAGCTAAAAGAATTACAACTATAGTTTTAGAATGCTAATATCTTACATGTTTTGGTGATAACATTATGCTGCTGACACCAGTAGATTGATAATCCCATTTCAGTCTTTCATCCATCCACGATATAGTGACATATCCCACTGTATTAAGCTCACCTTCAATTTCGTCCAGTTTATTCAACGAGGCAAGATTGAACGCCATCTCTATATACAACGGTGTTGTGCAATCCAAACATGGCCTTATGTCTGCATTATATTCATCCAAAATTGTACGGTGTATATTGTACGTATTGTTGCTTATTAAACTCGCAACGCCGAATATAACACATGGTAAAACAATGGTAACTTGCACAAACAATTTCATTTGAATATACCGGTATCTAGCCGTACACGTCTTTAAAAGTCTCACATTTTACATAAATATGCTCTTGTCTTTTTCCGGCACTGAAATAATAGTGTTAGCACTGATAATAAAATATTTTCTATTTTGAAATCATCCGACTGAGATATCAGCATTTAGCGTCCTCCTCTTTTGTGAATTGAATCAACATAGTTGTATTTGCGATGAAAAAACAAACAAACTCAAATTAGATCTATATAGATGTATAAAGAGAGTATGTATAAGATTGCTTAGAGGTTTTATAATGTCAAATGCCAAATCTACTCTTTGGGGAGAAATGAAATAATTAGTAATAATAAGTAGCTTTTCACCCTTTTAACATTATGACATATGTAGATTTTTCATTTATGATGTATAATGAATAGGAAATGGCAAATGTTCCACAAATTATTATATTAATTGAAGCTAATTTGCCAGATATAAAATATTAAAACAAAGCGCCAGGGGTTTATGATAAATTATCAACAGCATTCTTACAAAAACGATGGTATTATTTATCATTATTTTTTTATTACAGTTTACACCTCACATCACTAATAGAGACTGTTTTTGCGAATATAGAATATTCCTAAGAGATGAACGTCGAATAGCTAAAACAATGCCGGAGTACAATTTAATACATTAATGGGATACTCAGGCAAATTAATGACAAAAATATTAAAATGATCTTATGTACTCAAATCACGCTTAAATGACATTATTTAAAATCCCAGCATGAATTTCTGTATAAATTCTATATATTTTTGTTTTGAGGCGTAAATACATTTATATATATTTTGAACGAAATTTAGACGCCGACAAAATCACAGAGTATTTAAAAAGAAATTATGCAATTTGAAGAAAGCTTGGAAGTTACAATAACAGATATTGTGGATATTGTATGATTGAAACCATGTCTAAGTCTTTCCGTTCACATGTTCTTTAACGTTTCCGGAGTTAACTTTTACAACTATTGTGAAATTTTAACGCACAAATATGATAGTTTTACAACATAAAAGGCAATCTTGATAGTTATAAAACAACATCAGCCAGATATAGAAATAATAGCCTTACTATTATCAATAAAATCATCCAAAAAGACGGCATTTTCATATGGAATGTATTCAGATTTTGTGACAGGGCAATTGCAACTTCACTGGCTTTTTCTTTAGTCTAAAATTCAGGTAACAGACTTCCATTATATTGATAAATAATATTCACCATATTATCATGCCATGCAAATTTATTCATGATTTTTAATTTACAGTTTATACAGTTTATTTTGGCTAAATCGGCATGAGAAAATGCCTTTGGTCATTTACAATAACTTTCATGATGGCAAAGACAACAGAAATATATACAATATAAATATAACATACAAAAACATATATACATCAAACGATTATTTTAACAATATTTCTATAACTTGAAAGCACTTTAAACAGATATTTTAAGGAGCAGCCATATTTGCAAGAAATTCTGCTCTTAATTTCATAGCACATGAAGTAAATTTTGCAACATTTCTTATTTTTCTTATATTTTCACTTGGCAAAAGAAAATAAAATTTATTTAGAGTAGGAAAGGAAAAGTTTATACAATATCTTTTACGCAACTCTCTGTAAATAGGACAGCAGAGTAAAAAATGATAATCGTTTTCAACATGAGTACTACACATTCCAACAAATCTACCATTTTCAACTTCTAAATTATGTGACGACAATCTTAAACGAGACATTGTTTGTCTACAGGAACTTTTATCTACCACCGTCAAATATTTTTCAAAAGAAAATTCTGTCTTGAACAAACAGTAAAATTTTAAGTTTTGGTTGATTTGAAATTGTTTCGCTCCACTCTTGTACGTATTGATCCCGTAATCTTTGCTTTAATACAGACATATAGTTATTATCAAAATTTATTTCATTCCATAAGTATCCATAGCCTAAATTATTTAACAATTTTTTCACAGACAAAGTCCAGGAATTATTTGAATTTAGATTTTCTGATGACTTTAATTCTGAAAAAAATGTTATACATAAGTGAACCTGGACATTTCATTATCTTTAACCATTGTTTCAATGCTCGCTCTTTACATAATACAGACAATGGAAAGCGACCAAGCTCACCCATTACAGCAGCATTTGATGTCTGGGGTCTAACTTCTAACACCAAGAATTCTCTTGCAAAAACGAAAATGAAGTTTATCAATTTCTTTATAATTATATATTCCCATACGTCTGAGCCATATAGAAGTATGGTGACTACAAGAGAATCAAACAGTGATAATTGTGTTTTTGTATCAAGATTTAATCTACTTATAACTGAAAAAAGATTGTTGTAAGCTCTTAGAGCTTGGTCGTTTGGAGCCTGAACAGCAAATTTCATGTTACCGGTATAGTAAAATTTAACACCAAGGTAACAAAAAGAATTAACGATATCTAGCTTAGCACCATTTACATACCAAATCAGTCTCTGTTACTTGTGACACATCAACAATATTTTTTACATCATTAACAAATAAAATAAATAATAGAGGAGAGAGTGGTTCCCCTTGTTTAACACCAATAGAAACATTAAACATGTCAGAAATGGTCAAGTAAGCTGTGTCTTTTACACAAGATTTTACGTTTTGATAGATGGCTTTTACCATTCTAACCATTTTACAGGCTGATACCAGATTCTATTAGTTTAACCCACAATGCTTCATGTAATAACCGTATCAAAAGCTCGGTTCATAATCGATGAACGCCACAATAAAGTTTTTAGATTTTTTTGAAAGTATTTTTCTGAATAGTACTATGCATATAAACACACAATCAGCAGTACTCCGCCCATCTCTAAAACCAAACTGAGATTCATTAAAAACGTTTTCCTCTTCACACCATTTATTTATGCGGTTTCTTAACGCTAATGAGAAAATCTTTGCTAAAACATTGACAATTGTAATCCCTCTATAATTTGAAGGTACCTTACGGTCGCCTTTTTTAAAAATAGGAATGATAACGCTCTTTACTCCAAGATTCAGGATATTCACCTTTATCAAATATTATTATCAAAACGTTTTACAAGATAAGGAGCAATAAAATCTTTAGAATCTATGAAAAAAATCCGCTACATTTTTATCAATGTCACAGCTTTTATGCCTTTTTAAACATGCTATTGTCTTACGTATTTCATCAATACTAAATTTACAATCAAGACTCTCAATCTGTACCGTATCTGTTCTGTTCGAAAAAATTTCAGGGTAAGAAACATTTTCATGCTGTGTATGAGACATATTACTAAAGTATTCAACAAATTCATGTAAACTAACATCATGATTTGCATAACTCGATTTAGTTTTATACTTTTTAATATATTTCCAAAATTGTTTAGTATTAGTCTTGCTCAACTTAGAAAGCGTTTTCTTTTCCTGATAAAAATATTGCTTTTTAGCTTTGTGCTTACTTGCACAAAAAATGCTTCGTGCATTCAAAAACAAATTTCTATTGCGGTCTGACGGATCATCTTTAAATAATATTTTGCACCTGTAAAATTCATTTTTATTTCGCTTACAATCATTGTCAAACCATAATGACGTTTTAAAATTGGAAGGTTTTCTTGTTGAACTCTTCTTTATAGTTTTACCATTTACTTTGAATGATATATCAAAAACTAAATCAGAAAACAAGTTTATACAAGTATCAATGTCAATGTTATCACACGATAAATTATTTGTAATGTCATCAAAAGAATATTTATATTCATTCAATAATGAATCAAGTTTATCATTATCGATATCTTCCCATATTATTTTGTCATAAGTTATATCTTCATTTGCAATAGGTTTCAACATATGAAACTGAAAACGAAATTGGACAGTGATCAGAAAATTCTGAGAGGTCATGAACTTTCATAAAATCAATAATGTAATCTACAACACTTACAGCTTTGCAGTTTCTTATAAGATTATAACATGTAAAATGACCTGGTTCAAGACGGCCATTAACAATATAGACAGCATTTATTTTCTTTGCACAATGTAATTAATTTATTACCGAAACTATTTATTTGTTTGTCAAAGGACGTTCGAGATTGGATTCCTATAGGAATATTGTCTTCTTCAGGTAAATCAATATAACGCTCAAGGTATATATTTTCAATCATATCTGGTCTTTCACCAGTTCGAGCATTTAGGTCACCACATATTATCACATATCCAAGCCGACTATACTTTCTGATATCATCAGATATTTGTTCAAAAAAGATAAATTCGTATAAGGTGATTCACATTGTTTATATACCTTTGAATCTTCAGGAGGTATATAACAACAACAAAAAACATATCATTTGAACATGCAAACATTGATTTTTGTAATTTAAACCATATTATACCTTTGTTGTTTAGTGAAACTAACTTAATTTGACCTTTAAATTCCCTTCTAAAGTACACAATTACCCCACCACTGTACCTTTTAGCTTTCTTATTATATTTCGGCCGAGGACATGAAAAATATTCAAAATTATTTAAGTCAATAATTGACACATTTGAATTCCATGTCTCTGTCAAAATCAAAATATCAAAGCCGTTCAGAATGTCCAAAAAGTCATTTTCAGTTAATCTATTTTTAATTCCCTGGATATTCCACGAGAGAAATTTCAGCTGCCTCCTTACGTTTTCCTACGCCTGCACACTATCTGTGACCATATGTTGGTTCTGGTCCCGACCTGAAATGTAAGGTTGTTTCCTCCGAGTGCGACGCTCGAGAATTTGGACAGGACCTGGCGGGAGGACGGTCCACCGTGTAAGATCGATTATCGATATACAGTGTATCATATGAAAGCACTGCTGTTTTATTTTCTTTTCTCGCCTGAACTAGATAAGAGATAAGTTTTTGGCGCCTCTCACGGATCTCCTGAGGGTATTGGTCACTTACACCATCATAAGTTCCAGATAATTTGAGCCTTGCTTTTTCTTTCACCTCCATCTTATCTTGGTGAAAGTTAAACTTAGCAACAATTGGGCGTATTTTGCCATGTTCATGACTTCCGACACGATGCGCCCTATCAATTTTATATATATATGCGTCAATTATTCCAATCTTTTCAACACAAAACTTTAATACTTTCTCTGTACAATTTTCTTTCTTTCTAGCCTCTCAAACTTTCT